TTAAAGGACTTTATCGGGCGAATTTGCGTTGTCTATCTAGATGACATCCTTATTTTCTCTACATCACTACAAGAACACCTCTCAGCTATTAATAAAATATTTTCAAAATTAAGAGAGTTCAATCTAAAAATCCAAGTGGATAAGTGCAAATTTTTCTCTAAAGAGACAGAGTATTTAGGACACATATTAACACCAGAGGGAATAAAGCCAAACGAAGATAAAATTAATGTAATTAAACAAATCAAGCTGCCTAAGACTCCCAAGCAGATAAAAAGTTTCCTAGGCATTACGGGGTACTATCGCAAGTTCATCAAGGACTATGCGAAAGTAGCTCAGCCTATGACTAAATATTTGAAAAAAGGAAATAGAATCAATGAAAATGATATACAATATAAAGACTCCTTTCAAAAATTAAAAGAATTGATTACAACTTATCCTATACTTCGTTACCCTGATTTTAAAAAGAAATTTGTATTAACAACGGACGCGTCCAACTTTGCAGTTGGAGCAGTCCTATCACAAGAAAACCACCCGGTCTGCTTCGCTAGCAGAACCCTTAATAATCATGAATGCAATTACTCTACTATAGAGAAGGAACTTCTTGCCATAGTATGGGCCACTAAATATTTTCGGCCATACTTATATGGTACAAAATTTTTAATAAGAACAGACCACCAACCCTTAAAATGGTTGCATTCACTAAAAGAACCAGGCGCCAAACTACAAAGATGGCGAATCAGATTAAACGAATACGACTTCGAAATAGACTATGTAAAAGGAAAAGAAAATCGGGTTGCTGATTTTTTAAGTAGAATGGATTCTACAAATAATGAAATTAATCATATAGATGACCCTAACGAAACACCTTCTAATAATTCAGTTATAACAACAAACCATAGTCGCCATGAAAATCAATTCCCAACATCCGATATAATAATTAATAAATATTTGACGCAGCTTTATTTGACAAAAGAAAAAGAAAGGGAAATAATTATAAAATATAAAAAATTTAGACAAATCTTTATTAGTGAAAATGAAATCAATAATAGCCATTATTTAAATGACATACTTAGACGATTCATTAGAAATGGAATAACTGCTATCTATTCCGAATTAAATGATGAAAAATTTGATATAGTAAAACAGAAACTCACGGAACTCTTTTCTAATAATAATAAAATGAAATTCATAAAATGTACTAAAAAAGCAATAGACATAGAAAATGAAGAAGAGGCCTTAAAATTAATAGAAAAAATTCATAAAGAATCAAACCATCGAGGTATCGTTGAAAATTATACAGAAGTGAAAGATGAGTTTTTCTTCCCTAAACTTAAGGAACTATTTCATAAGTATATAAACAGTTGCGACATATGTAATCAATCAAAATATGATCGCAAACCAAATAAATATAGATTCGAAATTTCCGAAACCCCGAGCTCTCCTAATAAAATAATACACGTCGATTTATTTTTCTGTTATAAGGAAATATTTCTTACAATAATTGACAAATTCTCAAAGCATTTAATGGTCCAACGTCTTAATGACCGAAATGCAACTACTATTATACAAGCACTTCGCAACAGGTTTGCACTATTCGGTAGGCCAGATAAAATCGTTGTCGACAATGAGTTCGATAGTCTTAATATCAAAAACTTCTTTAGAACAGAAAATATAAACGCTCACTTTACGTCACCCAGAAGCCATACCGGAAATTCTACAATCGAACGAGCTCACGGAACTTTAAGCGAACACCTTCGTATCTTAGATACACAAAAATCACATTTAACACCGTATGAAAAAGTATTATTCGCAGTCGAAAAATATAATAATTCCATTCACTCTGTAACTAAAGTTAAGCCTATAAACTTTGTAAATAACGAAATAACCGATATTGAAAAAATTAGAAAATTAATTGATGAAAATAAACTTAAAACGATTGAAAAACTAAACAAAGATAGGATAGACCCTGACTATAAAGAAGGAGACAAAGTTCTTGTAAAAAATCCCGAAGCTCTAAGATATAAACATAAAAAGAAATATACGTATATTAAATCTAAATTAATTAACGGTAAATTAAAAGATAACCGGAATAGAAATATTCACCCAAGTAGATTAAAAAGAAATTTTAAATTTTCCTCAGGTAACCCAGAAACGGGCTCCACTCAACCACTACCACAACAAACTTAAATTAGCACTACTAATTTTACTCCTCACTTCAAATACTTGTTCTGCAAATATTGACGTTCAGGTATTGGAAAATCAAGGTGGATTCCAACTAATCAAACGGGAAGAAATTCCTATAATTCAAAACTATTCTAAAATTCTTCACTTTATAAATATTAGCGAACTAGAAAATACTTTAGCACAAATTGAAAATAATATTTACAACACTTTTAACCAAGACAATACCACATTAAAACAATTACAAATTCAAATCGAAAAAACTCGACATAACATTAAAACATTACTACCACACAGACAAAAACGAGGACTCATTAATTTAGGTGGCAAAATTTTAAAATGGTTATTTGGAAACTTGGACGATGATGACAAAACTGAAATTGTAGAAAACATAAAACTTATTGAACAGGGAAATTACAACTCCATTCAGACCATAAATAAACAGATTAAAATAAACGACCAATTTCAGAAAAACCTAAATATTCTACAGAAACGAATTAACGAAAACCAAGAAATTTTAAATATTACACTGAGAGAACAAAACAACACCTTTAGCAAAAGCATAAAAAGTTTACAGTTTCTTTCTAGTTACACAAATATTAACTTACTAAATTCAGAAATAGACAAAGTCCAACAAAACATTCTTTTCGCTAAACATGGTATCATGACTCACTCCATTTTATCCAATGAAGAAATTGATGAATTTGAAATCGATGTTTTTAAATATAAAGAAATAAAAAGTTCACTTATTAGTCTAGATAATAATATTATTTTTGCCATTTTGATTCCTAACGTTGCAAAGGAACTTGCAGTTGGATATAAAATTATTCCAGTACCTAACAAAAATTTCGAGGAAATAAACATTGAATCTACTAATATATTGAAATTTAAAAATGAAATTTACTTTAATAATAAACAGAATTGTGAAAATAAACTAAAAGTAATAAATGGTTGTATAAAAAATTTAATGAATAATAATTTTAAGAATTGTACAAAAAGAAAAAATATTAATTTTGAGATTGTGGAAGTTTCATCTAATATTATCTTAGTAAAAAATGCAAATAATGTAATGTTAGAAAATACTTGTAATAACATACAATACAAACTAATTAAAACTAACTTAATTACATATTATAATTGCACTATAAAAATAGATGACGTAATATTCAAAAACATAGAGAGAAAAATTAACAACCACATAATAATACCAAACTATTTAGAACCTTATAATGTTAGTTATATACCAAATTTAGAAAATATTAATTTGAAGCAAATTGAAAATTACAATGAAATAGAATTTGTAAAATTTGAAATTAAAAACCATTATATTTTAATACTGTCAAATATCTCTATTATATTGCTTTTAATAATTTTTATTACAAAATACTATATGAAAAAATTTTATAAATGTAAAAAACGGCCAAACGATACAAATGAAAATAATAGTAAAGGAAATATAATCTCTGGAGCTCAGGAGAGCTTCCAGCTTAACGAGGGGGGAGTTATATATTCGCTTACGCCCGGAACACCAAAAAATAAAATTTAACTATAACTAAAATTAAATCGAACGTTGCGATCAAATTTCCATACTTTATTACTTAAACCTATTCTAAATCATTTAATCGCAACGTGATTTGACAAAAACAAAATATTTATTTTAAATTAAAATTAAAATTCAACGTTGCAATTAAACTCCTATATGAAATCATTTAATTGCAACGTGATTGAACTTTTACAGACAAAACTAAAGCAAAGTTCCAAATATTCAAATTACAATATTAAAACTTTCCCATGAGAATTATTCTAAACAATTTTTTGCTTACTAAACAGTTATTTCTTATAAATAGAGTAAATTCAATAGCAGCTTAGCTTGGTTGGTAATTCAGTAGCTCGTTAGTTATTAAATCGTTTTGCCGTTTAGAAAATAAAGATTTAAAAATAAAGTTAATAAGTTTGGAATTAGGAATTAAAGTGTAATTAATTAATAAATGAAGTAAAAAGAACCTTTATAAATCTTAAAATATTTTTTATGTAAAGTAAAAACTTATAGTTTAATTTAATAAGTTTGGAATTGGAAATTAAAGTGTAATTAATTAATAAATGAAATAAAAAGAACTTTTATAAATCTTAAAATATTTTTTTTGTGTAAAGTAAAAACTTATAATTTAATTCGTATATAGTTTCAGAAGACAGTTACAGAAGACAGTTTTGTTTTTGCAATTACGCAGAACGAACTGCTCATTCTTGAGGAATACTGTTGATTATGAAGTTTTTTAATTTGTTTTTTAATTTGTATAAACTATATAGAAAATGGTAGTACTTATATGTACCTATTCTAAGATCCTGTTGAAAATACTATATACTATATAACATATAACATATTGTACATAAGTATGTAGGTGTAGATAGTTATAAAATACTCGTTCTCGTATTACATTATTTACGATATTACACATATGTAAAAATTGTTGTAATTTTAGCGCTATCTAGGATATTTAAAAAAAAGTTGTTTGTGTCTTTCAATTTATAAAAATTATTTCTTACGTTTTGTTTACTGAGAGTTTATCTAAGACATGAACCGTGTTGAAATCTTTTAATAGAAAAAGTTTTGTTATACAAGTTCCACAATATTGCAGTTTTTAGAGAATTAAAAAACCGTGGAAACTAATACTAATAATTATCCTTTCTAAAAAGATAATGGATATATCCGGAAAATGTAATAGAATTAGTGTGGCAATCATTGCAACATAAAATATTATATTGTTAAAATTTAACACAATATTTATTAATATATGAAATTAATATTGAAAAAAATTCTTTTAAATCAAGGTATCCACTGGAATGCCTTTTCAAATAAGTTACAATATACCTAATAAGTAAAATAACTCAATTTCAAAAATATTACTTTATATATTAGTTATAAAATATGTGTAATATATTAATAAGTTAATAACTATTGCAAAAATCTTTAATTTGGAACTTATACTCTATTTAATATCACTTTATTGCTCTATTTCACTTTATAAAAAGAAAATTGAATCAGTCCATATGTAAATTCATGGATTCTTCGTTATTGTTATATATTCTAACATAGGCCCATTTTAAACCAAATTTATAAATGGGAAAATAAGGGAAGTAATATGACCAAATCTCATAAGTCCACAATCTAAAATTAAAGAAAATGCGAAACAATTTAATTTTGTACAGTTTTTCAGCGAGAAATATTCCAGAGGATATTTTGAACCGGTTATACCATCCAAGTTTATAAAACTCTTTAAATTTTTCTTCTCCGCCAAAATCATCAGTTTCATAATATTCATAATTGGCGCATTTCGCAGAATGTTTAGTAAAATATAATGAAGTTTCCCAATTAAGCATATGATACAAAGGCCATAAACCATCAATCAAAGTTTTAGTCATCTCATTAAACTCTTCACTTGTATTCTCTAAAGCTGGTTTATAAACATTTCTCATAATTAAATCAAGACGCTCTTTTGTAGTATCCCACGAACTTGTACAAATATTATACTCATCTTTAATTCCAAGCAAATAACCAATCAATCTCCATAAATGTATTGTACTGCTTTTAAATTCTTCATCAGCCAAACCAATTGAATCAGCTTCTAAACAATAAAATGCCATAAATCCAAATTGTGTTAATGCCAAATCTTTTTGAGTAATTTTTCCACAATTTTGCTTATCTGCTATATGACTTGATTTAAAATGCGCTTTTCTAACCATTTCAAGGCTTTCCCATGATTTAGTTCCAGGTTTTAAAGGATACCGAAAAAATGAAATAGTATGTAAAATAGTTCTAACATAGCGCCGATAAGACATTGCCGGTGTGCTAGATTGCTTTGTTGCTATTAGAATTTTTAAAATGGAAGGTATAGCCATAACTGCAATTAACCCGGATAACATTCCATTAAATATAATTAAACGATATTTATTTAAATATGATTGGCCCCTAAAATTTTTATAATATGAATTTTTTTTAAAGAAAATATAAAACCATACTTCAATGTAATTTTTTCATCGTGCCACTCCGGTAACTGCATTTCATCTTCACAAGGATATTCTTTTTCACCATTTTCCAATAAATTTTTAAGGTACATTTCACCTAATATCCATTAAGAAACCATTTTAAATAAATGTATGTAATTAAAATATAATATTAAATATCACTATTACTATTTTTGTATGCTTCTTTAATTTCACTTGTTGCTTCGGTTTTCATGATTGTAATTATTTTTTACTATCTGCATCGATTTCTCTTTTATATTTTGATACCATAGAATTTTATTTCTTATTTGGATTACTTTTTACAGTCGCTTTCACCTATTTTAGTTTCATCTACAAAGAAAAAATAAAACAGTTCAATATTTATGCTAAGAAATTGCTCGTTATTTTGCACACAATCACCTAAATTCGTTATACATTCACAATATAATATATTATACAACAGTACAATTAACAGTATGTAAGCGAAGTTTTACGTTTACTTTTACTTGATCAAGCACATATTGTTAAATTTCAGAATTCGAATTGTTGTTTTATTGGTTTAGAATTATACATTTGGCCAATTCATTTAATCTTATCTGAAGTTCGATTCATTCTTATCTGAATAATTAATTTTAATTACTGCATCGACTGTGCGGTTATTGCATAATATAGTCATAAAGGTCAAAAAATTAAAGTAAATTGTGATAGTACCTAAAATAATGCCATTAATTTCACTTCTTTGAATTATTATTCTTTTAGTTCATCTAACATCAAATGTAAATAATCATTTCCATATTTTTTATTCTTAATTGGGAATAAAGTTATTGTCTTTATATCAAATTTTTTGAAATATCAAAATGAATTTATGTATGTATGTCTGAATATGCACATACATATGTATACTTAAATACACGCTCTGCCGATCAAATAATATAATCATCAAAAGTAATCCTATATTAAAAGAATGTATTAAAACAAAGGAATCGTGTGTTAATTTTTAAAAATAAATTTTATTTTTATATACAAAATTTAATTATACTTGTACTTACTACAACCAGATTAATAAAACAAAACAGAAAGTTGAACTGAAGAGATAAAAATTGGTAGAAAGCAAAACAATTTATTTTCTCATCTTTAAGAAAAAACAAAACAAATAGGGTATTGCCAAATGAGAAAAAAACATTTGTTTTTCTTCAATTCAAAAACAAGGCTGCCATTTTGGTAACTTTTTATAAAAATCGACCAGTTTTTCTCAACTTGATAACTTTGATTTCAATTTGATAAAAAAACTCTTTCTGTTTTGAAGTTTCAAATTCAAAATATTTATAAATCCATTAATTTTGTTAAAAAAAAAATAAAAATGTGTCGAAAACAAGATCCCATGTAACAAAAAAACAATTTGAGTTAAAAAAAAACTTAAATTTAAAGAAGTTTTTGAATTAAAAATGTTACGATGCTATTTTTTTACTAATATTATTATGAGTTATCCTACTCCATGATTCCACCAAGAAACAACTACTTTTAACTTTTTTTAAGATCTTTCACAATCTAATTATATATTTTATATACCTACTTCATCCAAAAACCAAAACTTCATATTTTTAAATGGAAAATTTAATAGATTTTTTAGTGTCTCTTGACATATTAAATAAATTACACAAATCGTTACAGGACAATAATGGTCGTACAGTTTTTTGCGTGAATGAAAATAATGTTATGTTTACATATTATAAAACACACGACAAAATGTGGTTACACTGGCAACTTTTGAGTTGACAAATGAGAAAATATATTTTCTGGTTATGAAGTATGGACCCGATATAACATAATATATGTATATTATGATAGATTATGTTTTATAGTATAGAACATCGGTAATAAGAAAAAATAATTTTTCTAGAAAAACGATATTTCGATCAAAAAAACAAACATATGATTCGTGTCTCTAATAATTTTATGCACAAATTTACGTTATAAAAAAACATTTTCACGATAAACGGCAAATACTATGCAAAATACTGCAGCATTTTCCAAAAGAATTAGGAATACGAAAATTTTTAGAAAATTTAAAATTATATATATTATATATATATTTTATATATATATTATATATATATTTTATATATATATTATATATATTCAGAGGGAATATTAAACCTCCAACACCAGAAAATAAAATTAATATAGTCAGAAAATAAAATTAATTTTGTTAACTCACCTACTTACTCGTTCTCATCCTAAAACTATGCAATAACTTGATATATTTTAATATAATTATATTAAATGAAAATATCATAAACGTTTCAAAGTGCTTATTGATAAAAGGTTAAATGCTACTTTTGTAAAGTAGCATTTTACATTTAACACTTGTTACTATCGATTCAACCAATTTAAAATATAATTAATTGTAATTCTTTACAAAGGATTCATGTTTTTGTAACAATATAATTTTAACATTTATGTATAAAACGTAGGGTTTAAGCGAGAAACCATAGTATAGTAAATTGTGTGTATGTACATTGTAACGGTATAATGGTATAATGTATAAGTGAATATAGCCAGAAAATATTTGGGATACTATTTAATATGGATACGATACTCATATAATTATATAATTGATATTACATGTTATCTTTCATATTAAATTTGCATACAATATAGCTTGTACATAAATCATTATGTATACATAATGTTTACCTTCAAAATTTTGAAATAAACAAATTATTGATTAAATCGATGATAGATTAAGAGTTTTTTAATGACGGAATATATATTATAAATACATACATACATGTATTAAAATTAATTTTGCATAGTCATACAACACGATTGATTTTCATAAGAGAAAAACTTTCAAGGACTTTTAATGTTGACTTTTTTCAAAATCGAGGAATAAAAGCAAGGATTTTAATTTTTTTATTTTCAATAAAATTAAAATTTTACTTTTCAATAATGTAACAATGCGGCTTGTTAAAAAAAAAAACTGTTATTTTCTTTTAAAATTATTTAAAAAATTTAAAAATTTATGAAATTTCTTCAAAAAGTAAAAAATATAAAAGTTAATAGAAAAGGCCTAAAAACAAGACATTAAATTGAATTATTGTCAGGTATGCTTTGTTCAAGTGTATTAAAAGATTTCTTATTTAGCTAGAGCCAATTCAAATTTAATGGGTAATTTCAGACCTCAGTTTTTTCTAGTTATTGTAATTTAAGCTTTCTTGTATCTGTAACTTACTATTATTTAAGTTAGCTATAGCAACACAATACTTTTAAAGAGCACGTAATCCCGTAATAGTTTATATTGTATACGTCCTATCTTTATATGTTATTCAAATTTCCGTTTTTTTTTCCATTGAGTAAACGAAAATTATAAAGAGGAATTTTTAGAAAAAGTTTGGGTTTTTATATTTCGTTCACTCTTTAAAATTTATTTTTGATTTATGGTTAAATAAATCAAAAATTCTCAGTAATTCCGAGAGGGATTATTATTTATTTTTGATTCAAATTTAAATTCTCGGTACCAAATAATAATATTTTACAAAATTCTTTTACACACTCACCCACCCACCATTCACAAATTTAAATTGGAAAGAATTGAATTTGCATTTTAATCCAATTTTAATCAATTGGATTTAAAATAACTAAAAATTTATGTAATTGGGAATATACGATTTATTTTCCTATTTAACTACATACATAAATTTCAATTCAAACTATTAATATTGAGTATAATCGAAAAATAATCAAAATTGTGAATTGATACCGAGTCCATGCAAAAAAAAAAAAAAAATTACTGATGCCATGCCAATTTGATGTGTTTACCTTAATGATACAAAATTATTTTGATATTTTTGAACACTTTCTAAATAATATAATTTTTGACATTTATTTGGAAAAAAATTATTTTTAAAAAATTTTTAATTATTAACAATTAAAAATCTATTTAAAAAATAAATTTTAATCTCAATTAAGTTTTTGGAAATTTTAAAATCATAAAGTATTAAAAATACATTGATACATAACATTATTTATACGGTCCAATTTTCACTATTTTTTATTAAATTCTTTATTAAAAAATAATATTATCAAAAAATAATTAATGAACTATTGAATTTAGGCTACTTCCAAAATAAACCATCTGTTTATAAATTTGTGAAGCTTATAAAATAAAATTTGTCGTATAAAAAAAAAACACGAAATTTTTTATTTAATGCGTAAGATTTATTTTTCATTAATAATTGCAATTTTTGTATCTTAATTTATTAATTTTTGTTTTATTTTGATTTTTAGTTTTTTTTTTATGTTTTCCAAGCAATACTATTTTTTTAATATAATATAATTGCATATACATAAATATGTATTTTGTTAAATTTCAATAATCTCAAATATATTTTTTTTTATTGTTACATTTTCACCATTTAATTTTTTTCTTTTATTATCTACAATAATTTTAAATTAAAATTTTTCTTTTGTTTTTAATTACAATAATTTATTAATAATATTTTATTAATTTTTTATATATAATTAATTATATTATGTAAATTTATATAAGTATATTTACAATAAAATAAAATAATATTATGTTTAATTTTATACATTTATCTATAGTTCTTTGAACTATCAAATCAGTTGAGAAAAAATTTTATTCAATTTATACATTTACAAATTTAATAATAGAAAATTTAAAAAAAATTATTTTTTTAGAGCTTTTCTTTAATTTTAATTTAGAATTCAATTTAAGTATAGAAAAATTAAAATTTTTTAAATAATTTAAAAATAAAGAAAATTAAATTGAAATTTATTTTCAATTAAAAAATTTAAAGACTCGATAGCTCTATTGTATAATAAATACACAACTTAAATGAAAAATATGACTAAATACGACTTTTGAATCAATGGTTAACAAACGTTTCGTTCCCCTTGTCAAAAGGTCTTCTGGGCAAGGGGAAAGGTTTATGCTTCTGGGCAAGGGAAATGAAATGTATGTTGAACAATTGATACAAAAGTCATGTCAAACATACAGGTATAATAATCATTATTTGGACATGTTGTATATTAAGAGATTAAAGACATATTAATCCTAGATTAATAAGATTTAATCTAGTTCTTTTAAAATTTTTTTTTTAATAATTTTAATTTATTTTCTTTTCTTTTTTTTTGATGAGTAAATGATGACATAGTCATTTTTCGAATCTGTTCTAGGTAAGTATTTCAAATCGGTAAAGTTAAGAATTATTATATGAACAATAATAATAAATACTAATTTGTAATGTGATATGTAAATATGTAGTCATAAATGATTTTTATTTTATAGAGTATCTATAATACTAAAAATGGTTTAATGGTAAATTCTAAAATTTAAAGACAATCAAAATTATCATTGACGTTTAATTTTTTCATCAAATAATTTTTTCATTAAATTTAAAAAACAAACAAAATCCATGAACAATTTTTGACTATGCGTAAACTCAATGACTATTATGTTATGTGTAATGACTAATGAGTAAAAATTTTTGCATTTGAAAAATATACAGAATTTTTAATAAAATTTTAACCATTGTATTTAAATTTTGTCTTTGTTACTCACGTTCATTTTATTATAAATAATTAAATATTTGATTCGAATTTGTATAATAGAAGAGCTAAAAAACTATAAAGCAACAAATTAGTATTTTTTTATATTAAATATTATAATTAATTTTTTTTTATGGAAAATTGGAACAAGATAGAGTTTGTTTTGAAATTATTATAAGAGTTACTATTTGAAATGAAATTTTGAAATATTATGGAAAAGACCAATTAAATATAGATGTTAATTTTATACTATACCAAATGGTAAACTGTATTTTTGGAAGACAAATTATTGCTGCTATAGACAAATTTTAATTACATCAGTTGAAAAAATACTAAAAAATTAACTATTTTTGAAAAGTTTCCAAAGTAAAGACCATTCGGCATTACTAATCTATTGCAAGAAATTTTTCATTCAAATTGCTACTAAAAATCATTAATATTTAATTGCATAGCCTCGCCATATATATTTAATTTTTATTTTTAATAATTATATATAAAATCAAAAATTAAGTTTGCCAAAAAATTAATTTTAAAATTTAGCTTGTGTATATGACTGGTATTCTGAATATTGCAACATTTTGACATTAATATCGGAACAACTGCAATATTCTTTGTTCACTTTCTCACTCGTGATATAAGAATAAACTCATGAGATGATAACTGATAATTATGAGTATAAAGTAATTTCGAAAATATCATATTCGCTTTTTAAATTTGAGCGAATATTTAAAGGAATATTCTTTCAATATTTCGTATTTTACTCGATATTTTAAAATTTTCTAGTATATACTCGTATATAGTATTCTAGTATATTTTTCTAGTATATATTAAAAGAAATGAGAAAATCAATTGGAAAATTCAAAATAACAGGGTGACTTAAATGTGCTATGTTAAAGGAGATACTTAATTTTCAATTTCAACTATAATAATCATTCCATTTACAGTAAGAAATTTCTGGTACCAATTCTTTCAAACAATTTACAATTTTCATATATTGAATTCGTCATGTATAAACACATAACTCGCAAAATATATTTATGAAAATATTATTAAACTATAATTAACTTAATACTGATACAAATTTATTTTAAAAATTACAAAAATTTTTTTGAATATACAAAATTATTTAAAAAAAAAAAGCAATTCCTTTAGTATATTTAATTATGTGTATATATGAGATTTAGCTAAATTATTGCGATTTTACTTCGAAAAAAAATATATTTTTGATTAAAAAAAAACTAAAACAAAATTTTTGTTTTCAAAAATAATTTTTCTATAAAAGATTAACAAAACTTAGAATAAAAAACACGTTATGCCGCAGTCTTATTTTTAAATTTTACTTATTTTATTAAATTTTAACTATAAATTAAGAAGAAACACTACTATTGATAATTTTTAACACAATATATTTAAAGCAATATTTAAATATTCTGTTTGATTATTTTTAAATAAGTAATTAAAATATGAACAAATAGTTATTGTAAATTTTTTATCGCAATTATAATTCAAAATTTCTAAAACAGCTTCGGTCCAAATTTTTTCAAAGTAACTACCGTACTAGCTCGTACTAAAGTCACAAATAAAATTGCGAATTTTTTCCTTTCTTTTTTTTATTGTTGCTTTTGAATCATCACTGGGTTAATTTAAAATAAATAAGTTTATTTTTAACGAATTGCAAAATAAATTTTAATATTATCCACCATAAGATCGAAATTGGAGTATTATACTATATATTACTTTATAATTCGGCAGTTAGAGTACAATATATAAACTGAATTCTTTAGAATTTCAGTGTCAGGGTTACTGTAATTTTTTCCCCGATAGTTGTTTTCTCCAATTTTTTCATAAAGTTTTTTTCACAAGACCAACTTAAAATTATAATATTATTGATATTATCATATTCAATTAGGTATACAATGTCAATAAGTTAAATATATTTCGGACAGTAAATTTGGAAAAATAAATTAATAATGTTAAATAAATAAAATACGAAAATTTTAAAACTGGAGCTATACCACAATTCAGCTTATGACTGCTTATTACTTCAATTGTGTGATAAAATTTGGTTGAAATTTTTAAATATAAATATGTGCCATCTTTTATACCATGGTTACAGTTGGTTTTCCCTTTCTTCTCACTCTACAAATTTTGATATGTTTGAAGGAAAAATTTCAAAAATTCATAAAATCGCACATGTATGTACTTGATCATTATAAATAAAATAGAGCAAACTTTTATTTTTAAAAAGAAAATCAATTTCAAAAATTATTGTTATATCAAGCTTATAAATTGCACTTTTATGGAACTTTTACAATTAACACACTGAATAATGCTTGTAAATTTAAAATAAAAATATTAAAGCATATTAAATATCAAAATATAAAATTAGAATTCTATAAAGACAAAATAACAAGATGATTTTTATTTTTTGTAAACCTACTTTAGTTGAGCTTTTTGTCATTTATTTTATTATTGTAATTTTCCAAGAATAAGGAATTAAATTTTAAACATTTTAAAATTACAAAAATTTTTATGTTCTTAATTTTTTTTTGTTTCTTTGACGGCGCACTTCATTTCTAATACTCTAAAAAAATTTTTTTATGATTTTTTTATAATATAAAAAAAGTTTTATTGATTTAGTTCTTTTTGAGACCAAATTGATTGCCGTCGTTGATTTCTTTGCTGTTGTTGCTGTTCTTGTTGCTGTTCTTGAGAATTTTTAAGTTGATATTGCAATTGCTCTTTACTATGTAAATGATGTTGGTGATGTTGATGCTGATGATGCTGATGATGCTGATGGTGTTGATGATGTTGATGATGCTGATGGTGATTATGTTGTAAATTTTCTTCTGTAAATTTTTCATATTTACTATTATTATTGCTATTATTATTATTATTTTGGTTGATTTTTTGATTTTGATTATTATGACTACTATTATGTTGTCGATTTCTTTTATGATTTGGTGTCATTAAAACTTTGCTTTGATTGGATTGCTCTTGAAACATAACATTTGTATTTTGATGTTGATGTATTTGAAGACGTTGTTGCTGCTGTTGTTGTTGTTTTTGTTGTTGTTGTTGTTGTTGTGGCACAAAGCTATTTAATTGTTTTGAATTGACTTGGTTTTGTTGCTCTTGTAATGGTTGTTGTTTATGTTGGTGGTGATGATGGTGTTGTTGCTGTTGATGGTGTTGTTGGAGATGATGATGTTGGTGTTGTTGATGATTTTGTGACCATTGCTTTCGTTTTTGGTTATTATTCCACCTAATTTATTTGTTTTTTTTTTGAATATTAAATTATAATTAGATAAGTTTTTTAGAGCATACCAAAAATGTAATAAATTTTTAAGTATAGAGACACTGTTTTTTATTATACTGTTAGTAATTTGAATAAGAGTTTGAATAGAAGAGTAAAACTATACTTTAGGAATTGACAGACATTTAAGTAACGAGGCAATTAACAAGACAACAAAAAAAAAAGATTATTAGTTACAATATCACTTTAACTATAAATGAAATACAAATTTTTGTTCCTCATTATATTGTATACCCCTTCCTTGGGAGTTTTCCCTTCATTTGTATATTTTCAACAAATTTTATTAATTATTGTCTTTGAGCGAACAAAAGTTTTTTTAATTGAGTTCATATTATTTTTTGTTTTGGAAAATCTTACTTTGGTATTTTTCTCCTTTTTGTATGATTCTGTCCTTTATATTCAGGATAAAACTGTCCTCCGCTACCTCCTACTCCTATTATTCCATCACCCATTCCTCCACCTCCTTTTTTTATAAAATTTGAAATGACAGAAGCATCACAAGTGAAAGTAAAAATTTTTAACACAAAAAAATAAAAGGAAAATACACAAAAGACATAAAATCAAAAAAGGAAATAAAATTTTTTAGACAAATACAAACAAAAAAAATTTTTTTTGTATAAACAAATAAAACAAAAAGAACAATGATGAAATTTTCATTTTTATTTTTTAAATTAAAACGAGTAAAAAAAAGGATATTTAGAATGAAAAATTATAGGGAGTTGGAAATGAGAAGTAAATTAAAAATGTAAGTCAAATAAATAATAAAAGAATTTATGAAATTCACATACCAACGACAGGATATTTTCTCTTTGGTAACCTGGCCACAAAAACTGAGTCATGTTGAGGTTTTTTAATTGTACAATTTCTTCCACGACATTTTTTTAAATGTTGCAATGTAGTGTGCAAATAATTTTTTTCATCTGTACTTAACGATGAGGCTCTGTTTAATGTTTCAAAAGGATCTGGAAAAAAAAATAAAACAAATAATTTGAAATTTAAATTTGTAACCAAATAAAAGGAAGTAATGGTAAGAATTTAAAATTTAATAATTTTGGTCAAATATGTATAGAAATTAATATTTATAATAATTGAAAACACTTAATAAAAAGTATTATATCTGTACCACCACGTTATTCTGAAATTTTCGAAATTGCAACAGAACAGAAAACAAAATGTAGAACGGCCAGATTAAAGATCTGAATATCATGTTTTCAATCAAATCAATTGAACTTTAATCGATTTAACTAAAATACTTGTCTACTATAAATTATAATACTTACCGATTCTTAAATTATAGTAGGTTATCAGTCCCGTTGTAAATTCGCAATATAGAAAATCATGTGTAGAATTAACTGTTCTAATACAAGAATAAGTATTATTGTTGGCATTCATACAAAAACAAAATGGATCATCATTCCATAATGGAGCAGTTCTCCAATGTGAGCTATCGTGACTGAAACAATTCATTTTCTCTGATAAACATTCCTTTTCCATACGAGCTTTCTTCTGACGTTTCCGCTCCTTTTTACGTTGCCTGTCCTCTTTAAGTTTTCGACGTGCTTCTCGGGCCAAGTCTTTTTCACTAGGGATAACTCTGAAATGATAAATAAAAAGAGTAAACTTTTATTTAAAATAAAAGAAGAAAGAAATTAATAGTTTGTTTTTTTTTACAAAATCCATTACTTCAAAGTTGCATATGGTAGTAATACACAAAAGAGCTTATGAATTGAAATTTCTGAATTTTGTAGCAATTCGTAGCATTACTGCATTTTTTACTGCATTTTTGATTTAATGGAATTTATATAAATTTTTATTGAAATAAGTGAATGCAAACCCTTTTGGAAGAAAAAAGTAAACGCAGATAATATTTATTATTTTATAAAATTGCATTTGCTATACCTTTCAATTTCTGGTTCACAATAACATTCTGCTGGTCCTGAAAAACGATATTTTTCTTCTAAATTGTTACGATTTTCTAAAGTTGAACTTGTATCACTGTCCTTAAAGTTATTGCTTATGTCATTTGCAGTAGTGGTAGATGTTGTACTTAATGTCGATGATGAACTGGTACTTCCAATAGAATTTCGTATATTCTCTGTTGAAGTTGTTGTAGTAGTTGATGTAGATATTTTTCCCAATGACTTACGTTTATCGTTTCTTGGTGTAGTCTGTTCATTCCCAATTATTTCTCGACTATTATGATCTGTAATTGATACTGTAACCTTTGGAATCCTTTCTTCATCGCTAGTATTTTTATTGAATTTTTGTTTTTTTAAATTATTTGTGTCGTTTGTTAAATTTGGCTTATCGAAAGCATCATTTTTCTCAGAAATATCAAATAAAGACATATCAAATTCTTTACCTTCTTCTTCGTCGTCTTCATCATCTTCCTCATAAGGTAAAATACTAGCATCAGTACTAGAATTAACAAAGTGCTCTTTTTTTCTATTTCGGTCTTTATCTTTACGATTATATTCCCTAGTATTATTTTTTTTATCTAAAATTTCATCATCACCACTAGACAAAGAAGATGTAATTGTTTCATCGCTTGTCGAGCTTTCAAACTCCTCAGTATCCGGTTTTTCAATATAATCTGTTTCATCTAAATCTTCAGGATCATCATCAGTACTCCGACTACTGCTTACAGGTTCACTGTAATTTTCATCAAATCGACTGTTTCCGCCATTACTAAAACCAGTACTACTACTGATTCCTCCACTGTATTCTGTAGGTTTATTTTCTCTTAACAATTTTTTCACGTCTTTAAGTTCAAGGATTTTATTTTTTAAAACTTTTATTAATAAGTCAATTTGATGACGTGATTTTTTCCATAATTTTTCATCATTATATACAATCTCTGTACAGTTTACTTTACCTGTAGGCGAATCAATAAAGCATCTTGAAGGTCCCTTTTTGTCATGATGACTTACACCGCTTTCATTACTCACTGGATTTCTTAATCCATTTCTTCTATTCTCACCCGAGTTCATGGTACGATTTTTTCGTATCATATGGTGATTTTGAAATTTCTTCTCTAAATTTTCCAATTGATTTTGAATACTTTGAATATGTTCGGTAATCGAATCCGGGTTAAACACAATACCGTTCGTGTTCGAATTCGTTTCTCTTTTTTTTCTTTTATTTCTCTTTTTTATTCCTTGAAACTCTATAAGAATGAAGTTATCATCGTAATCATCACTTAATTTATTGTTAAATACTTGAAGATCATTTTCAATTTTTGATATTGTTTTCGAAATATCAAGAAGCTGACTAATTTCATACGGAATTTGATTAGGAAAAGTCTCGTGTGACTCTTTTGCATTATTCTGCGTAAGATTTCTGATAATATTATTTTCTTCTACATCAAAATGAGATAAACTTCTTTTATGACGTTGATTTATTGTAACACCCGCTTGACCTCTGTAGCATAATTGTTTACGAATTAAATATCTTCTTGCAAATGAAAGTAATTCTCTTACCTTTTTCTTAAACGCGGACCCAAATAATCCTGATTTGTTTTAATTTTAGTATAAACAACACCATCTGGAGTAAAACAAGCACAATTTCGTTTAGCTTGCACATTAATCCGGTTCATTTCAGCTATATGACTCTGAAGCTGTAACTAATACATATCAAACTCAAATTTTACACTAATATTTTAGGCAAGAAGATACTCTTACATGAAATTTGCATTTATGTTTACGCCATCTGCCGCTTTCATTGATACATTTCCATTTTTGTCCGGGTATACAATTTTTTGATAGAGCTGGATTTGAGCATTCTGAATTTAAGCGTGCCATTTTAGATTGATATGGCGCAAAAGGTAAATTATTGTCTAATTGATCCCGTTGAACTATAAAAAATAGATAAATCATATATTTCTAACTTTACTTTTTACAAAATTCCTGCGATCTAAATTAATGTTTATCATTGTATTAAATTTAAAAATAAAAATGTTCTACAAAAGCAGAAACAGCAAAAATTGCTTTCAATCCTATACATATACACATACTTACTTTCATCTAATTCATCCAAGTTACTATCTAAATCCTCATCGTCATCATCATCATCATCATTATTATCCATATTAGCATCATCATTTTCATCTTCATGTGAACCAAAATCAGTACTATCCATATTATTAATGTGTGCGTTTGTTATATTTGAAAAATTATCATCAACAATTGTGCTATTAACAATTTTTTGCATTGTACGTTCAGCAGCTAATCTTGCTTTTGCTTCAGCTATTTGTTCAGGTGTTTCACGTCTACCAGAACTTTCTATTAAAAATGTATCAGGCCATTGATCTCTTAATATATTTCGATGTCTTGCTAATAATAATGGTAAAAAACTTCTACCATCCATATGTGTAGGTGTTGTTACACCTCCAATATCTAAAAATGTTGGCGCTAAATCAATGTTTAAAACAATTTCATCGACACTAAATAAAATATGAAATGAAGAGAAAAAATACACGTCATTTAACATATATTTTAATTTTTATGATTTTATATCCACTTACACAGAAGCAGGTTCTATACCAGGACCTCGCATTAAAAATGGTACTCTAACATCGAATTCGAAAGGAAAACTTTTTCCTTTTATTAAACCAAATTGACCTAAATGATAACCATGATCAGATGTATAAATTATATATGTATTATCTAATTCTCCAAGAGCTTTAAGTTCATTATAGACTCGTTCAACTGCAACATCAACACTTTGTAAAGTTTGCAATCTCTTTGTCATTAATAAATCAGTGAAACGTTTATGCACTGGTTCCATTGGTTGAGTTATCCTTAAAATCCACTGTTTATCTGGATTTGGTGCATGATCATATGCTGGTGTACTAAATTTTATAAAAGAAAATTAATTTTATTCATATTTGAAATTTCACTGAGATTCTTAAAAAAAAAAAAACGAAAAGAAACTTCAAAGATAAAATTTTATATCTATTTTATAAAATGATATCTCCTTAAAGTTATTGAAGTTTAAATGACCATTAGCCTTTAAAATCAAATCAAAAACTATATACGATTCATCTTTCATATAAGCAATGATATTTCACCGAAGTAGGATTTTTGACTCTACACATTTATCTCCCACTCTACACATTTATCTCCCATTAAGGAAATACAAATATTTTCATTTGCAAAAAACCGCCAACTTAATTTAATTATTATTTAATTAATTTAAATTCTTTTGTGACCTTTCGCAAACAAAAAACTAATTAATATTTGCTTCACTTCTTACAAAAATAATGTTAAGAAAATCCCACAACTAGATATAGTTAGTTAAGGTTAAAGAAATGACTAACCATCTTAACCACTATACAAAAATACCTTTTCAAGAATCGTGAATGTATTTATCTTACCTTAATTATTTAAAGAAAAGAGCATTTTAAAACATAATGAGCTCATGATAATCTCTTACTTTATTTTCCAGTTAATTTCATTTATCAAACTACTTTGCGTATCATTCCATAAAACCTTTTCATATTTAAAAAGTCAAATGAAAAAGGAAAACTAAATAAACAAGCATATTTTCAAATCATAATATTTCCATAATATTTTACACCAAAAGTGTAGAGTATGAGAAAATCAATTTTTATACTTAAATTTTATTTTATGTCCTTTAATATTTCTTTTTGCAAATTATATTTGGTTCCTTTTGTGTAGGTACTACTCTGTTGTAGGTGGGAAAAACAAAAATTTTTATCAATATAATCCTTTACCCCTATACCTTCATATAAAAACTTTTCATTAACTATCTTTTATTTTATTTAATGTTAAACTCATGTAACCTAGATTTCATTAAAAATTATGACTAAAATTTAATTTGAACATTTCTGTATTATGTTCTCAAAAAAAAAATTTATAGAAACAAGAAATTAACAATACTTTCACATGTTTTCCGCATTAATACTCCTATTATCAAAACAAACTATAAGGAGACACTATTTCACGTAATTTTCTCGAATACAACTTTTTTTTTTTAATGACTGAGTTTTGCACTTCACGTATGCTTCTATTTTCAATACGAAAATTTTTAAATTTGTTTGGTCCATCTGAAATCAGACACTTATGAGAGACTGACGCATGAACAACGCTTCCTAAAATATAAACTAATTTTGGGTGACATCTGGTTGTCAAAAAAAAATTGATTTCATGTATATCATAATATGTCAAAAACGTTAATATTTCCAAGCTGTATATTAGGTAACATTTATTATTAAAATTATTTTATTCGTTTAAGATAAAAAAAAAAGTTTTTCCCCTTGTTTTTCTGATTAAAAAAAAAGTACATATTTTTTTTTTCAAGTTGCAATTTCAAGTTGGAAATAAGGGGCATTTTCGGTTACTGATTAATTCACATATGATACGTAAACATTTGTTTTCCCCCAACAGTAGGCGGTATGTTCTAAATATAGATCTAAACGGTAAATATAGGCCTAAATATAGCAGGACTATATTTAGGAATAACCTATAAAAATTCGGTCAAACTCGGATATTGCAGTTCTTTTATTTTGAAATGTCAAGAAACCTATATAACCATTAGACTTGCAAAGTTACTCCTCCTCTTTGTGCAATCCGAAAAGGAAAACAAGAAGAATTCTAAGAATTCAAATAAAACAATAAATTTTACGAAAATTAAAAAACTATAATTATAATTAAAATGGATTACATTTGAGTTTGTTTTTATAGTTTATCAAATTACAATATAAAAGTATGCAAAATTTATATATTTTTTTCATATTTTTATACGGTTGTTAATTCGCGGAACCGGTTCCTCCTATAAAGACTTGAATACTCATCCCTGTCTATTCTATGTTGTTGAATGTCTAACTGCTTGAAAGTACATATAAAGATAATATAAGGTATATATTATATTAACTTACATACATACATATGTATACGTAAGAATATAAACTAAAGTAAATTTTATTTATACTATAGTAATTTTTTTATTGAATTCATTCTTAAATTAATGGCTATGACAAATAGACATTCTTATAATATAATTTTCTAATATCACGCAACAATATACTTATGTATACATACAAAATATACGTGTAAAATTTGAAAAATACAGTATATCTATATACATACATTGTATATATATTGTTTATATTTGTATATATATATATTCAAGGAAAGAAATGAAATTTTAACAAAGTCCTTAACGTATTTAAATATACACAAATTTACGATATTATATATTGACAGCATATATGTATTTACATAATGTCTATCATCTATATTGTATATCATATACATTCTACATATATTATGTATATTATATACATTTATATAAAATTACTATTTTCCGTATTAAAATTAGTCACATTGAGTTGTAAATTAGTCACATTTAGATCGTTTTCTACTTAAATTAATGATTTTATATGAAATTTATTGGTATATTTTCTGGAACCTTATTATGTATTTAATTTTTTTATCGAATTTAAAAAAATATTGAATTAAAATTTTTATTTTGTTAATTATGGTATATACCAAAATAAAGATCTAAAGTCCTTTAACTTTGAAATTGCAGTAATACGGTATTAATGTACAATTCTGCTGTATTATATAACAGTATATAACATTTTTGCATTTTGAGGTTATAGATTTTTTGAACTTATTCAGCAATAAAATTTGGAATACTTATAATGAGTTAAATTATTTGCCAAATTATCTTGTAAGTATTATTACAACTCGTCGAATTGATTACATTATAAGTACATACTTCTTATAAACTTCGACTAATCTGTCGAAAAGAAACTGAGATCCATATCAAAAAACTCTATATTTTAATTCTGCAACGATCTTACTTGAACAAAACATATTGAAATTTCTCTTTAATAATTTCAAAATTATAGAAATATTGAAATACGTATGTAAAAGGAAAAGTAAAAATATTTCTTTTCTGGTTCTACTCAATATTTAATCTAAATATAGAACTATAAAAATAAATACAACAAAAAAAAAACAAATATATTTTTACCTCATTGAACTTTAAATGTTCTCCCGAACTGTAAATAGAATACGGAAAAATAAGTACCCCTATAAAAACTAATTTTTTTTTACCTGTACTTGAGGTATATAAACGGCTAACGCATACTTATAAAATTAATATTAGAGTACAGAATATTACAATAATAATTAATTTGTATAACAACGATATTATAAAGGTGATAAGAATGTCTGATCATTACAAAAAAAAAAAATTATATGAACAACACTTAACCGACCTCATTGTTAAAGTGTTGCATAAGGTTATGAAAGTTTTCTTTAAATATTAAATTTATTTGAAATTTTATAAAAGACAGAAAGTAGGGCTTTAGTTTATATACCTAGAGAAATATATATTTGGTTCTTAGTAAAGTTCATTTTACGTTGTTCCCAGTTAAGTTCGTTAACAAACATTAAATTGTCAATAAATTCCTCAAATATGGGCAAATATATAAAATCGGCACTTAGAGAAAGTTCCGTTTTCGTACCCTGATGTTCTTGAAAAATTTACTTACTTACTTACTCATTACAAAAAGGTGGGAGGACTTGTAATATTTTCAATCTGAAAGTTTCTCAAAAAACCGCCGATTATTTTCTTAAATACAGCCAAAAATGTAAAATCGGCTAGTAGTAAAGTTCAGCTCTAAAGCCCTGACATATCACAAAAGTTGATTAAACCGTCTGATTCTCAAAGTAAACTCAATTAAAAATTTTCATAAAAATTGATCCAGTCGAACTTGCGATACTGATCTGCACATGCAGACTGACAAACAGAAGAGCAAACATCTCTATAAAAAGAGTTTGATTACGTTTTTCTAGCATAAAGAAACACATTTCCTCCGAAAACTCGACATGTGAAATTTGGTGCTATCACATTATCTCCCTTATTGTATAACCAGTGCGGTCGGTAAAACTAAATAAAGAAAAATTATATGACAGGGTGTAAAGAGGTTAAAGAAAATTCTAGTTTATTTGTCTTATCTTACTCTAAAAATAGAATATGATATATGTATGTAGTTGAATACACAAAAATTTTAAAATTAAGGAACGAAAAATTTCACTAAGAATGTGGGAGGTTATTTTTAATTAAAATATTCAAATACCAAAATATGAGTTATTTCAAATATAGACGGACTTACTTTAGAATCAATGATTGATAAATTAACAAATTTCTCATTAACAGTCTCCATTCAGTTTCTATTCAATAAGTTGTCCACAAATTTAGGTTTTATCGTTTAAAATTTATAACTTTTAGAAATAAGATAAAAGTAAAAATTTATTTTACCGCAAAGACGTATGTTTCTTACAGTAGTTGGTGATCATCGTCGAACACATCATCGAGAGAATGAATAATATACTATATAGAAGAATAAATACAATTTTGGTATGTAAAGTAAAATCCTTTAGAAATTAACAAAGCAAAAACAAATATTAAACAACACGCTTTGGAAATAATTGCATATGCAATATGCAAATCTAACTGAAAATAAGTTATTCAAAAAAAAAAATTTATCTGTAAAAAAGAATTTCCGACATATACCGCATAACATACAGAAGGAATGTAATTATTTACACTAAAAACCTAGTTAAAATCGGTATTAGACCATATTCGGTATTAATGTCGAATAAACTTCAACTATAGCATAATAATATTTTTAAAATAAATGTCCTTGACAGCTGAAACACTTTAAAAACAAAAAACAAATTTTTTTTTGTTTTTCGTGTATTTCGCGAAATTCAAATACTTTTTCAAACACTTGAATTTTTTATGGGTTCCTTTTATTACCTATGTTTACCTTTTTTTTTTTTCATTTAAAGAAAACTTTCAACAAAAATACAAATATAAGAGAAACACAATAACGTACGGCTATTAAAAATTTCCAAAATTTTCTCTCAAAACAAACAATAATTTCCATTATTTACCAATTAACCTGAATTTTCTTTTTTGAAATAAGAAAGAGGTGATGGACTTGGTAAACGTTAAATTATTCGTGTCTATTTTTTTTTTTGAATGGAATTTGTTTATAAATAATAATTTTATGGTTATTTTCTAAAATAAACTGAAATTTGTATAAAATTCTAATAATTATTTTGAAAAATATAAAAAAAAGGAAACAATTATCTAAAACAAAATTGTAATAAATTGTGAAAAAAATTGTAAAATATTTTTGAATTATTAAAAATTAAATACTTTGTAATGATATTTTTGCGGTTATGCCAAATGCTATCATATAATATTATATTTGCGTATTTTGAGAACATATTATAAATTAGACTATTGTTATTATATGAATCATAAATTATTGAGTAAAAAAGAATTAACCCTAAAATTATTCTGCCTTTTTTTGGTTACAATTTTCAAATATGAACTTCAATTACTAGGAAACGATCTGCACAAGAAAGCTAAAGAGACGAAACTCTGAATCAACCTCGTGACCACTACAGAAAGATTTTCATTATATAAATATGATGCCATTTTTACTGCCATTAACTTTGATAAATGGAAAAGTTCTGACTACAGTAATCAATAAAAATTTACTACTCAATAAAATAACAAAAATAATATAAATTAATCATTAAATGGGTGCAAAAATGTAAACAAAATAACTGAAAATATAAACGTGGGAAAAAAGACACTATCTGTACAATTAAATACTTTGGCGTTTAATGTCTAATTTATTTGCTTCTACTTTCTACTATTACTTTCTACAAGGTCTTCAATTAGAACAAAATATATTATTAATTTTTAAATCTGTCAGTGATAACAGGTCTTGTGACCACCTGGAAACGTTCGAATTCTTTCTATACGCATCTTATTGAATATAATTGAACTTTTAAATATTTTAATTAAAATCCATTATTGTTTTTATATAACTATTTATAAATATTAACCTTTTTCATACATAAATGGGTCACATAAATTGAAATTATTTAAAAAAATTCAAATTATCTTTTCAATTGAGCAGTTTGAGGTTAAAAATTATGACCTTCAATAAAATTTAATAACTTTGTTTTACTTTGTTTTGCTGCAAATTTTTGCAATAGCAAAAAACTTTTTGTTTTTTTTTTTTTTAAATAAATATTTAAACTTTGAAATTAAATCGAAAAAATTTTTTGCAAAATATTATAAATTCTTTAAGTATTGATTGAAAATATGGTAAATAAAAAAAAATTTAATTATTTATTTTCATTGCGGCGGTATAAGGTGTATTTGAAATTGTTGCGCCTTAAAAAAAATGTTGATGTGATCGGCCACAATATAAAATTGTCTAGTTTAGCGAAAGTATCACAGAAGATTATATAATATCTAGATTATATAAAATCTAGCTGAATGTGAATTTAGCTCTTAGTAGAGTTTCGCTTTGTGCCATCTGAATTCCCTGCAAAGTTCATCAGTTATTTGCGGTACCAAACAAAACTCAAACATTAAATTTCAAAAAATTTCGTCAATTAGCTCCTTATATATGGCCCGCATAAAGATCCAGTTCAAGCTAGTAAAGCAACCCAAATAAACTCAGATACAAAATTTCATCAAGATACACACTTGCACACACAGACTAACAACCCGACATCTCTTTAAAAATAATTTATTTCCCTACCATGAATAAGTGCGTTCTCACCAAAAATTTGACATCTAAAATATTATGCTATCACATATCCTCCTCCGTTATTGTATGCAATGCGGTTGGTAATAAGTAAGAAAACCAAATTGTTATGTTTAGAACTTCCATAAGAAGTAAAGTTTATAGGTCCCACAGTGGAAGAATTAATGAGGGGAACTGAACGGTTTTCATCTTTTGCAATAATGTTTATGCGGAAAATTGAAAGAGTCCACTTGCAAAGTTACTTATGAATAGAAACAGTTTCTACTTCAATTTTTCTACACATACAAGTAATGTTATTAATAAATCTTCTTTATATAATTTAAACTTAACATAGTCTCATCGCAAATAGAAATGCAAAATTTTGAATCTTTTACCGAAAATTTGCTTAATATTCGAATTTCCCGAATTAGCTATACAAATATTTTAAAAAAGACCCTGTTAATTAAATAAGGTTAGCATATATTTCAATATATTATATGAAAAGAACTATAAATTTGAATAATCTGATACCAAAAACACTTATAATCTTATTGAAATTTAGGAAGCATAATTGCTTTATAAACCAAATTAAATGAATTCGTTCGAGCGTATAATTAATCCCGTCAAATCAGGGAAAAACTTTCTAAATCACAAATTTTGCAAAAAATTTCCAATACAATTTTCTCTGTACCTATTCTATAATAATGTAAGGTTTTTTTTTTTGTTATTTTTTTCTTGAATTAAAATTAAATTAACTAAATTTGCTTATCGGTGGAAATTTTTCCGAATCCAATATCCTTCTTTTGAATTTAATTTCAAATTATTTTCATAAGAATTTTGTAAACATTAAATGAAAATTGTTCAACCAAACGTTAAAGAAATTAATCGAGAATATTTTTAGTAAATTTAGAAAAAAACAATGGTTTGTACAGTAGGATTTTTCCGTAGCACAAGTGAAAATATTTTTTTTTCTGCTGCTTAAGTTGTTTCATTAATGAAACAACATCATGTTATGTTTGTATGTATTATAAGAAGTATTATGCAATTATATTCGGCCCAATTTCAAGGTTAATTAGGTGTATTAAAACATTCGTTAGTTTCAATGAGTTCGACTTCTAATCTCAGGGAGGAAATTTTGGAATACCTGTTGCTTTTCGCGATAAAACACGAGAGCCCTTATTTTTATGTGTTTTTGCATAATTTAAAAATTGTTATGGTTTCGCTGTAATAGGTTGTCAAAAAACAGTAATTTAAGGAGTGAGAGCTTTAAAAAGAGGGGAAGTAAGTCCAACTATTTCTATTAAAGAAGTAGGTTTCTTGCCAACATCTACTCTATGCTTTCTATCATAAAGAGTGTAGAAGTTTTGTAAAATACGAAAAGAACGGACAAAAAAAAAAGTAAACTGATAAGTGCATTTTTGTTTTTTCAAATTTGTAGGAAATTTATTCTCGAAAACAATCAATTTAATTTAAATTTTATACCTGAAAAGACTACAATAAAATTTATTTAACGCAAAAATATTTAAGGCAAAAATCGTGTACATCGTTAAAAAGTGAAACCGTTTCCCATTTGTATTTCATATTGTCTTCAAGGTTCTTTTCTTTTGTTTAAATTAATAATGAAACTTAAAGCTAAATAGTATTGTGAAAACAAAAAAATTCCCTATAAGAAGTATAAGAAAAATTCCTAAGTTAAAACTTGAATATTTCACGTCTTTGTACTTTGCTTGTGTCACGCCTTGATGTCATTTTATACATATAACAAAATTACATTAATATCTTCAGAATTATTATGAAGGTCAATACCAAATAAATTGGTAAATACAAATATATTAGGTTACTTAATGGGAATAGTATAATTTGTGCTAGAAAACAGTAACTGTTCAATATTTCCTACTGATGAGATAAAAATTATTCTAATAAGAAAATGTTTTGCTTAAAAAACTCTACTAAACTTGATGTTATATGGACAACTATAACAATATATTGTAAAATGATAATTGTAATAGTGTCGACAAATATTCTAAATATCATCGACAAATATTCTAAATTCATTATTACATCAAGGGTTGTAGAGAACTAGGAAACAACGACATAATATCAAATTTCTAAAACTTCCACTTCTATATAACATATTACAATAGCTTTTTAATTCTGACCTTACTGTAAAATTGCTATAAATTTTCATTCCGAACTTCCGAGTAATAAAAACGAATTTTTTGAAGAATGATCCCTGAAATAAAATTGTTGGCAATCAATCGTTAAAAAAATCGTTGCAGGTATAGAAAACATGCATGCGGCAAGAGGTAAAAAAGATTGCGTATATTTTTTGAAAATTTTCAATATTTAAAAAAAAGTACTTATTGCCTCTATTTTCTTTACTTATTGGCATTTAAACTATTTTTGGAATTTTCAAATACAATTTTGTAATCTTCATGTTCCCTGAACAAAAGGTTTAAAAAATTCTAGGTCCACAACTGGAATAGAAATGTCATTATCTTACAAAATCAGCATAAATTTATCGTTTTATTTTAATGCCATGGGAAATAATGGTCTGGGATATATAATATACATACATATTATCTTTCATCGCCGAGTTCTGAGTGGATTTGGCCTGAAATTAATTATATAAGTATAGTAATAGAGTCATAGGTTTTGTTACTTCCACTATGTTTTGGAAAATATTTAAGCTATGAACTGCTGCGGTTTAACATAAACTATATGAATAACAGAGACTATTTGATTCAAAGTTGATAGGTGGCATGAGTCGCTGTGAGAACTATAAAGTTTCAGTTATGAAACATTCGTATAAGTAAGATTATCATTCGTACGTATATCACAGTTTACAGGTATATAACAATTTTACTTTCCTGCCCAAAAACTTATTACTCTTCACAAATTCTTAATAATCATTTTTACAAATCTTTACGTTCATTCAACTTTTAAGTAAGTAAGGGTGTGAACGTCAATATGTAAAGTTTATACATAATTTTTCTAAATTAAAATTTTTTAAATTTCTCCCATTTTCTGAATTACGTTTTCGAATTTTTTTTACATTTAATTGTAGGCGAAAATAATGGAAACTTTATGAATTTGCAATTTTCTATTCAAATAAGTAATAAGAAAATTTCAAAATAATTTCAATACATTTTTTTTTTCTTTTATTTGTACTTACTGATGCGTTGTAACATTGAAAAATAAATGACTGTATTGTGGTGCTGAATCTTCTGGACCATGTGGTGCTGGAAAACTCATTGTTAATAATACAGGTTTTCTTTGGTTCTGTTGTTTTGATTGCCTTAAAAATGCTATCGAATCATTTGCTATTAAATCTGTATAATAATCCTGTACAAAAACAAAAAAAAAAGTAAATTGAAATCAATAATTAAATCCCATACATTAAATATTTTATAAAAACAAAAATATTAATCATAAATTAAAACTTACTTTAGCATAATCAAAACCATGTCGAATTTTTTGACCATTCATATTAATACTATAATTATAATACTTTGAATTCATAATTAAACCACCCCATTCTCTCCAACCAGGTGGTATATAAGAACCATTATATTTATTTAAATATTTTCCAAAATAACCAGTTCTATAACCGGCATTCGATAGATATGTTGCAAATGATCTTGTTTCATGTGTTGCTTGCCATTGTGGACTGGAGCAATTATCATTATTTGTGAATACCATATGATTATGTACATACATGCCAGTTAATAACGATGAACGTGCTGGACAACACATTGGTGTTGTTGTATATGCATGACGAAATTCAGCACCACCATCCCTTAATAATCGCTGTGTGCGAGGCATAAAATTTAAAGAACCTGAAAATTTTATTTTACAAATATTTTATTTTTCTACATTTGAGAAAGTTTTTTTTTTTATCTTAAAGATCGGAACATTTCTATTTCTGAGACAAATTTACCAAAAAGCAATATAAAATATGGAGGACAAAATAAAATTAAATACTCTGATTTCAGACGAACGGCCGAGTTTTAAACGACGAACAACTTTTTTCATTAATATTTTACATTATTAAACAATCGATCATGTAAATCTTATCAAATATCTTAATAACACTAATTGGAGACTCGATAAATTTTCTACGAAACTCTTTTATTTTGGAAATTAAATTAAATTTTTATGTTTTCAAATATGTTAATATATTTACCTAATTCAACATCTTGATCATCAGTTAAAATTAATATAATATTTGGCTTTTTCTCACGTGCAGCTCCAGCACCAGCAAATAAACTGTCAAATTCAAAATTATTTCCTGATATAGATTTGCCATTATTATTATTATTATTATTGCTAATACTACCGCTATAACTATTGGTATTACTGTTAATGCTACTTGCGCTACTACCACTATTATTAACCGATGATAGTAACGATTGCTGTGAATAATTTACGTTACTTTTTTTGACACGTTTACTCAAATCATGATAATTTTGAAGATTAGATTTTTGATTTGTTGATGCTGTTAAATAATCAACATTATATGAATGACGATGTTGATTATGTTGTTGATTATGTTGCTGATGATGCTGCTGATGATGTTGCTGATGATGTTTATGTTGTTTAGTTTTGTGTTGATGATGATTTTCTGAGGCAAATGATTCTAAATTAATAAAATAGATAACTAAAAATATCACAATAATTTCTTTTCGATGATAAATTTTCATTGTTTTAGTGTTTTTTTTTTTCTTCTGCTAATTTTGTTATTTTTACAAGATATTTTAAATTCTATGGTGCAGTTTATTATTATTATTATTATTTTTTTGCTTTTTGTTTGTGTTTTGTTACGCTTTCATAAAATTAATATCACAGCATTCAGTTTTGTTGTTTTTGATATTGCTGGCAAATTTTTTTATAAGTTGTCGTCCTTTAATTATTAATGTCATAATTTTTTAAATACTTGATTACATGTATGTATGTATGTATGTGTTATAAATATTTCCTACATTTATGGTTAATTTTTTGTGTTTTATATTCTAATTCGACAATTTGCAATTTTTATTATTTTTTGTTGACCAATCTTTGTAATGAATCTGAAATTAGAAAAAGAAGTTTATGATTAACTATTGGCTATTAATGAAATATTTTGATTGAAATATTTTCATAAAAATTTTCAAAAAATATTCAAAAATAAAAAAGCCTACTAGATTCAATCTAATTCACTATTCACCCTTCAATCCAAAAAATGTCAGATGCTTATTGCAAACATTTATCTTAATAATATCAACAAACATTTAATTTAATTAAGGCTAAATTTTTTTATTGCCTTATTGTTTTTCTAAGCTATCACCTTTTCCAATTTCTAATAAATTAACTCATTTTTTATAAACAAACCCACCCCCTCCACTTTAAATTTATGCAATAAGTCATGAACGTAAACAAATATGTAATAATAATAGCAGACACCATTATTTTATATTAATGCCAATTGCCAATCAAGGTTTGAAAAATGTTTGTTTTTCTTCTAAATTACTTAATTGAAATGTGATTTTTTGCAAACCAAATTGGTTGAAGAGCTATATTTTTTAAAATTTTGTGTTAAAAATTCAATCTGAGTTCAACTCTGTTTTAAAAATTTTAAATTTTTAAAACTTCTAGGTACATTGTATGTGATAGCATATATGTAGATGCATATATAGCTATAGCAACTCCTATAAAATTATTATATGCGTATATACCGTAAATATAACATGGTATCTAAATAAATTTTCCATATCCTACAGAAAATTTTTAAACCAAATTTGTATTTTTTAATATTCGCTCCAATTTAATTAAATGTTATCATTGAATTAAATAAAATGAAAGATTTAAAAACCATTTTTCTTTTTTTTAAATAATTTTTTTGCATAAAATTTTCGTCTTCTTTATGGGTTTTGTTAAGAGGATAAATCATTTTCTTTGCTTTATACTTTCAAAGTTTTACACAACAAAAAAAATAAAAACAAAAAAATTCTACATTTTTAAATAGAATATTTTTTTTTTATTTTCTTTGTAAAACAGAAAAGATGTTTTGGAAAAGTGGTGGCATAAAATGTGATGATGTAAAACAAAAAAAAAAAAACAAATTTTCTTTTACTATCACTCGTCTACGTTGAAAGAAACCGATGCTTCACACAGTCATTTTTCGAGCGTCAGTTAAGATTTCAAGAAAATTTATTTTTTTTTTGTTTCTGTTTGAAAAATTTACATAACATTTTTAACACGTTGAAAATTCTTTTGCATATGTCATATGAGTCTTGATATCACATATACATTTGTATATATATATATATATGCATATATATGGAAAAAAGAAAAAATAATAAGGAAATTTCAAAATAAGAAAAAAAAACAAGAAAAATACCATTTCGTAATGTTATTTGCATTATTTCTGCTTTAAATGTCGTATAAAAAAATGTCAAAAATAATAAAAAGTTTATGTGAAATAAAATAGCTGCATATATGTACATAAAGAAAAAAAAAATTATATATGTATAAAAGTAAATTGCTTATAACGAAATTCATCTCAGTCACACTAAAAACTGTAATCAAAGTTGAATTTGTGCTTTGTAAAGAGCTAACTGAAAAATTTTAAGAAAGAATACCATATAATAACAGTGGTAAGAACAGCATGTAAAATACCACATTAATATCGTGCCGGTTAAAAAATTTGAAGAAAACAGGAGCTTTGGAATATATTTGTGAGGGGTACGTAAAATTTGAAAAACAAGAGAGATTGCAATGCAAATATATTATAAAGAGAGAGAGAGAGAGAAATGAAAAAGAAGAGAGAATTCTAATATCTAATATAACCGGGCCATTTGAAAATTTAAATAGCAAAAAGTGCGGCTTTTCAAAAAGCAGTATAAATAATGTAATTTGTTTTATAACAGGGAAGCCTTTAAATAAATTGTAACAGAGGTATTTTGCAACCAGTTCTTATTCTTATGGTCATTCGGGTAAATAGAAACACAATTCCCGGTTTAAATAAACTCATCACACACAATTATTAAGACTTCAGAATTCTAAACTAAATTAAAATAAAAAAAATTGCGGTAGCCAAAGCTATTTTTTTTCTGGAAGATTTAAAAGTTTTGCCCTTCACACAAATTAATTTTGGTAATTCTAATATTCAATTTGCAAAAAAATAAAAAAAAAATATAGAAAAACGAAATTCGCTAACAGTTTCAGTGAACATTTCATGTTTCATAAAAATTAAAATTTTTTATTTTATATTTTTGCAGTATTAAGAAATTTTAAAATACAAAAATGTCAAAGGAAATTGAGTGTGTAAGTACGTGCTCGCGTAAACTAATAAATATCCCGCTAGCAAAAACGTCAAGCGATCATATATGTAAACACAAATTTTGACATATGAAAAGCAATTTAATTTTTTTTTAATATCTAATTTTTGGATTTTTTTTTTACACAAATTTTGTAGTTCAATTTTTCAAAACTTAAATTTGGGACTGAGAATCTAAAACATTGAAAAATGTTAAACAAAGCATAACAAAGATTTTTCTTCTTTTAATTTTAATTTGATTCGAAAGTTCGGGCCCTAAGTTCAAAAAACAATATCATATTTAAAATACATAAAAAATTTACATATAAAACAAATTTCACCCTCGATTTCTGGCAATTTTGTCAATATAGACCTTTTCATTGATCTTTATCTGTCTAAATTAATGAGTCTATATTCTTAGACTCATTGTGACATAACCAGTTAAAATGAATATTGGAAAATAAAATACAATACCCACTTTTTTTTTAGATTTTCTTTAAAAAATAATATTTTTTTTCATTACAGCGACTAGATAGAAAAATATTTATACCTATTCTAGCAAAGTACATACAATCATCCCAGAATTGCAACTCAATTCCAAACTAAATTCCAAAAATCTGACGATTTTATTCTCAATTTAATTAAATCAAAATGTAAACTGAATCTGTTTCTGTTTACTAATCTTATCCAATATAAAACTACTTCACTCTACATATGTACATATACTGATATGTAATTTAAGTATTTCCACCAGTATTTATATTTACAGTATTCTTTCACCTGATTTAATAAATAAATATATGTAATGCTAAAATTTCAATTTGCAACATTTTATATTAAAATTTTACTTTTATTTGTACTTTCGCTACTATCCTTCAGAGTACTCTAAATTTTAAATATTTAGGTGAATTGTTAAATAATGCATTGTACATATGTATATATATATTTTGTATATATGTGTATACAGGAATGAATGAATTTTCTCTTATAATACATTATAAATTGAAAAATCAATATTTTTAAAGCAAATTTAAAGATATAATAATATTATGTAAATGTGTGTATATGAAAATCAAAAGAAATGATGAAAAAATTTACGATCAAATATTTTAAAGCGTATAAATTTTATTATTCCAGTTTAATACCCCAAAAGGTTGTAAATACTTATTTTGAAATTGATACCTGAATTTTCTAACAAATCTAAAACTAAAATATATTTATTATATTTTATAATAGAATAATATTGCAATATACTTGTTAATTTGGGTTAATATAAAATGGGAAAGCAATAAAATGTATGGTATCAGCATGTATGGTATCCTCTATATAATCACCTAATCTATACATATCTCTATACTTGTATAGTTTGTTACATTTTCAGACAATTCCAATATATTTTGAAAGAAGTGTTCTTTTTAGTTTTGTTCCTTTGGCATCTTACGAGAAGTAAGAAGAAATTCCATTTTACCTTCACCGACAGTCTTGCCCCTTAAAATTTTCCAAAAATATAATTTTTGGTTACCTATTTCTCAGACACCATAGTTTCTATAACAATAATCTTTGCGTCACATGCTGTTTGAGCTCATCAGGAGGAATGAACTCGAACAAAATATGTAAGGGAATTTATCTCACTTAACAGAAAACTAACATACAACAAATGATCTGTAGGCATGATGCAACCGCTATGTCGATGAACAATACGATCTACAACATTAATTATTTTTTAATCCCAAAATATACCCTTAAAACTTAATTTGATCAATTCACAAGTTAGTAAAATTTTTTATGATAGAGCAAATTATTTACAATTTTTCCTATAAGTATGCAATATTATATGAAATTAACAAAAAAATATTTCGTTAAACCATCACTTATAAAAATTATAATATAATATTTAAATATTAAAGAGGTATGAACTTAAATTATTAAAAACTGTTCTACATATTATGCGTTTAATACATTGCATTTTTTAAAATTGACAATGTTAACATGTTAAATGCAAATGTACACTTTATCTTCTTGTTGCATATTTTAATCATCATTTATTTAACATTCATTTTCATTCATCTTTTATTCAAAAATAAAGTGTAGAAGGGATAAAAGCAAAAAATTTTGTTTATTTATTTAAAGTAGATTTTAATTGTTTTAAACTATGCCTTTCACTTTTTATTCACCTTGAAATTTAAAAAAAAAAATTTTCTTAAGTCTCTTAGCACATTTACATAATATGTGTTTGTTTTAATGTGACCATATTACATTATTTTATTTTTAGAATAAACGTAATACAATTAAAATTTCTAATATAATAATTTTTATAAATTATTATTAGATCATCATAAAAATTTTTATTATAACGTTGATATTAGTATTATATTTGCATAATAGTACCATTATTATTTTGAGTGCACAATCGCGGAATTATAATTCAGAATTTCAATATAAATTCGTTGGGATCAATGTTATTTATTGAGTCTGTATTATAAATCTAGACGTGAAGAGAACAAATATTTCTTTCAGTTCAGAAGAAATACTTTTCCAGTATAAAACTTATTCTAGAAAAGAAGTATAGTGCGAATTAAACTATGAATTACTTTAGAACAACTGCTCTATCGAAAGGTTTAAAGAGTAGTAAAATTTTAATAGAATTTTTTAAACACTTGAATATAATTTATGTAATAATTATTAACATGAAAAATTTACATCGTTAAAAGTATGTTAGAACATCATGTTATAAAAATCATTACAATAAAATGACGGACAGTAAATTTTTAT